ATATTTAAAAAAATAAACTTATACATGAACCAGAAAGCTAAAGAGTTGAATAGAAGATTTGAAAGGGCAGCTCAGGAAGACAAAGCAAAGCATTATAATGAAATGTGCAGGGAGCTGGAGTTAGAAAATCAAAAGAGATGAACTCATTTGGCATTTCTTAAGCTGAAGGAACTGAGGAACAAATTCAAGTCTCAAGTTGCAATATTTAAACATGTTATGGGTAGAATATTTAATGATCAAGGAAGCAACAAAAGGAGATGGAAGGATAGTAATAATAAAAGATAGATGGAAGGAGTGCACAGTCACTGTAATAAAAAGAATTGGTTGACACAGAAGAATTTCCTGAAGCAACATAAGATCAAGAGACAATGGAGGTGAAGGAGGAAGTCCAAGCTGCTCTGAAGGAATAGGCAAAAACAAGGCCCCAGGAATTGATAGAATGTCGATCGATAGATTGTAGCAAACAGATGCTGCCATGGACATGCTCACTAGGTTGTTCCAAACATCTGGAGAACAACTACCTGGCCAACTGACCGGAAGAGATCCATATTTATCCCCATTCCCAAAAAAGGTGATATAAGAGAATGTGGAAATGATCAAATAATGTCACTAATATCATACACAAATAAAATGTTGCAGAAGATTATCCAGAAATGACTGGAACAATACAACAGCCGAAAACTAACAAAAATAGAGCTGGGTTTAAAAGAGGCCGTGGCACCAGGGACATTATTGCCAGTGTCAGATGGATTTTGGCTGAAAGCAGAGTAACAGAGAAAGATCTATCTGTGTTTCATTGACTACACAAAGGAATTTGACTGTGTAGGTCACAACAAATTGTGGGTAACCTTAAGAATCCCTGAACACTTGATTATGCTCATGTGATACCTGTACTTGGACCAGGAGGCAGTTGTCAGAACAGAGCAAGGAAATACTGCATGGTTTGAAGTCAGAAAAGGAGTGAGTCAAGGGATGTGTCTTGTCTCCATACCATCTCAATCTATATGTGGAATAGATTATTCAGGAGACTAGTCTTATGAAGAGGACTGTGGCATCAGAATTGGAGGAAAACTCATCACAACTTGTGTTATGCAGATGATACAACTGTGCTTGCTAAAACTGAGGAGGACCTGAGGTGCTAGCTGCAGAAAGTCAAGGACTGCAGTCTTCAATATCAATTGAAGTTCAATATCAAGAAAGCAAAGATTCCCACCACTGAGCCAAATGGCAGCACCATGATAGACGGAGAAGAGATGGAGGTTGTTAGCAATTTCAACATACTTGAGTCTACAATCAACACTCTTGGGACCAGCAACCAGAAAAATGAAAAGACTAGTTGGATTAGGAAAGGCTGCTGTAAGGGACCACTCCAGAGTGCTGAAGAGCAAAGATGCAAGTCTAGAAACTAAGGTGCACTTGGTCCAGGCCATAGTCTTCACAGATACTTGCTAAATATGAGAGAGCTGGACAATGACTAAGGATGACAGATGAAGAATTGATGCCATTGAGTTGTGGTGCTGGAGAAGAGTACTGAGCATATCATGGATTGCCAAGAAAACAAACAGGTCTATGCTGGGGAAGGTGAAACTAAGTTGCTCTCTGGAGGCAAGGATTTTGAAGCTATGTCTCACATACTTTGGGCATGTTGCCAAGAGAGACCAGTCCCGAGAGAAGGATATCGTGGTTGGAAGGGTGGAGGGACAATGCAGAAGACGATGTCCATGGATGAGATGGATTGACTCAGTGACTGAGGTAATATGGGCAGATGTGTCTGTTGGAGACAATGAGATTGGCTCAGGATAGGAGAGTTCAGAATTAAGGTGCATAGGGTCACTGTGAGTGGCAGGAGACTTGACAGCACATAATGACAACAACATACATAAAATATATATAGGGAGCTCTTGAGAGGCTTAGTGATAAGGAGTTGCACTGCTAGCCCAAAGGCAGGCAGTTCAAATCCACCAGCTATCTGTGGGAGATAGATGGGCAATCTCCTGCTATGCAATTTACAGCTCTGAAAACCCACTGGAGGGTCAGTTATAAGTTGACTCAGACTCAATAGCACACAACAACAACAATAATGCAAATATATACGACAAAAAAGACAAAGGAATTTTGAAATAAAGACAAAGTATAAATATAAAAGTTAAGTATAAAGAAGTTTAAAGGGAAGACTACAATGAATGTGTATAGTAATATGAATAAAGTATAAATATAAAATGGATATTAAAGTTAAAACATAAAATATAAGAAGATAAATAAAAATAAATATAAATGTACTAAAAAGGTCAATCTCTTGGCCATCGAGTCAGAACTGATGCGTAACTGGCCCTCCAGTGGGTTTCCGGGAGGCTGACAGTAGCACAGGAAGAGATCGCTCATCTTTCTCACACGGAGAAGCTTGTGGATTCAAGTGACCAGAGAGGTGCTACATTTAGATTAGCCACACAGTTTCTACAAACTACACAAGAGCTGCCTATTGTAAAATAGAAAACAAATTTAACAGGAAATAGAAATGTTAACGTGAAACATAAATGTGAGTCTAATAATATTAAACATATGTGTAACAAGAACATAAATCATGCAAGTAAAAGAAACTTAAAGAAATAGTAACTACAAATAAATAATATGAAGAAAAGCTAAATCAAAATATTAATATTGTTGTTGTTGTTCTGTGTCGTCAAGTCGCTTGTGACTCATAGTGACCCCATGTACACAGCCCTAAACCCTGTTACTGTCCTGTGCCAATCTCATTGTCTCTGACACACCTACCCCGATTACCCTCTCATTGAATCAATCTATCTCACAGAGGGTCTTCTTCTCCTATGCTGTCCCTCCACCCTCCCAAGCATGACGTC